AGAAAAAAAGAGAGAGAAAAGGGATCAGGAGTTGGATGAGCGGGGTTTGCATCCTGGTTCTGCTACTAATGTAGACTGATGAACTTAAACCTCTACATCAGCCTCTTCATTTACAGTATTGCAATGATGACATTTTCTTTCTTTACTTGGCAGGTTTTTGGTATTAAAAAGGGAGAATGTATGAGGACCTTCAAAAAGTTCATGGAAAATCTGTTATAAAAATGCATATTTTGAATAACTGTGGATTTCAAATTTTTTTGTCCCAAAGCAAACGTATCTTTTAATTCCATTTTCCATGAACTTTTTGAAGTACCCTTGTATGTGAAAATGTTTCCTTAAGGCTGCAAAGTGATCTTTAAATGAATTGATAAAAAGAAACTGATAATATTACTAGCAACTGATTTCAAGAGCACTTAAAAATCAGTGAATGAGAACTTTCAAAGACAGATCATTTTGTTTTGTTTTGTTTTCCCCATAGTGAAAACGGAGTCAGTTCCAAATTTAGGTTGACAGTTTTCCTGTCACTCCTTCTGAAGAAAAGACTGAAACATATGCTCGCTTCTCTCCAGATTGTGTAAATGCCTTTCCCTTTTACTTACCAGTGCTGCAGAACTGTATAGAAGTATACAGTGTGGGGACTGGCTCTGTGGCTAGTTGACTAAGCCTGGGCGTCAGTTCAAGTCCCAGGTGCTCCACTTCTGATCCAGCTTTCTGCTTATGGCCTGGAAAAGCAGTAGAAGATGGCCCAAGTGCTTGGGCCCCTGTACCCACATGGGAGACCCGGAAAAGGCTCCTGGCTTCAGATTGGCACAGCTCTGGCCAATGCGGCCATTTGGGGAGTGAACCATAGGATGGAAAACCTCTCTCTGTCTTTCCCTCTCTGTGTCTGTAACTCAGTCTCTCAAATAAATAAGTAAAATCTTTAAAAAAAAAGTATACAGTGGGACTTTGTTATTACTTGAATGTTTCTGAAGTACCTACCATGTATTATAACACACAAATTTCTGGAATTCTGAAAAAGTACCTTGGGGCTGCCACTGTGGATTAAAGCTCCGGCCTGCAGTGTAGGCATCCCATATGGGCTCAGGTTCGAGTCCTGGCTACTCCACTTCTGATCCAGCTCCCTGTTAATGTGCCTGGGAAAGCAGTAGAAGATGGCCCAAGTGGTTGGGCCCCTGCTCCCACATGGGAGACCAGGAAGAAGCTCATGGCTCCTGGCTTCGGCCTGGCCCAGCCTGGATCATTGCAGCTGTTTGGGGAGTGAGCCAGCAGATGGAAGATCTCTCTCTCTCTCTCTCTCTCTCTCTGTTTCTCTCTGTAACTCTGTCTTTCAAATTAATAAAATAAACCTTTAAGAAAAAAAAAGCATCTTTGCAGGCCAGTGTGCAGACTGACAGAAAGGATACACCAGCAACCTGAAAGACCGTTTCTTAGTGTGGTACAAGCATTTTTAGGTTGACTGTATGAGTTTGATAGCAGAATGATAAAGCTAAGGACAAATGTTGGGTGCCCGTTGGTCACAGTCACCATTAAATAATAATTCTAGAAGTCGAAAGTTTTCCTTCTCTGATGCCAGCAGAGTTACAACTGATGCCCCCTGGAAGGGAAATACAGGATTTCATTCCCTACTCCTTTTTCTCATAGGGATGAAGCCCAATTCATCGGCTGCATATTTCATCAAGGGAAGCTTTGGGAGACCCAATAGCCACCTCAACTTTTGTGCAGTGGAGTTAATCCTGACAACAGAAATAGGAGTGAGGCCCCAGAATACTTGATCAGTTTTAAGTGAAAAGTGAAACCTTACTTTCTGTAGCATGAATTTATGACCTTCCAAACACAGGGGGAGGTGTTAGTTTCCTTTTCTAGAAGGCGTATACTGTACGCTTAAAACAGTGGTTCATTTTGACATAAGTTTTTCTATGTTAACTTGACAGCTACCCTATTAACTTTGACAGTCAAAGGAGGATTTTTCTGGGTATTTTTTGTTTGTTTTTCAAATTTCCTTGATGCATGCACTTGTGAAATTATTGTGCAGAGAAGTTAACAGATGCTAATTCAACACACAGGTTAAACGTTGGAATTTGGGGGCTATTTTTGGAATCTGTATTGGAATGATAGTTGGCAGCAAAAGCAAGACTTATATTTTTTTAATGTCTAAAACTTCCTTTCTAGATACTAGGGCTCTATTTATTCAACTTTTCTGAGAAATCAATCACTGACTACAAGTGTTAGATCTGGAAAGTACAGTCAATTTCCTTTTACTTGGGTCCTTGAAAATGTGGTAGGTATAGCATGAGAGAGTCAGATTTTCCTAGTGAAATCTCTGAATTTCCCAACTAGCGTTTGTTGCTTCTCTTTAACTCATTTTGCACTAGTATTCACAGACACAATAAAGATGATCAGCTTTCTTTGATCTCCTGGGTCTACAAATTCAAATTTAATACTTGAGATAAAGCCTCTCTCTTTGTTAGGATCTTTTAGAGTGGTTGAACATTGGTTCTTATTGCTTAAAGTGGTTTACTTTAACCTCCAAGTAATCTTATGGAGGACATTCTAAGATGCCCTTTAGATATGCAATAATAGCCATGATCTATTGTGAGTCATGTATGAAAGCCATTCCACATTGTGTGGATGCAGTATATCAGAGACTGCCTCAAATACTGTGTATGCAACTATAAATATAACCCTGATTCCATTATTATATTGTTTTAATGTGTCTTACATATGAGTTTTCTTTATACAGTTTTTACTATAAAATCTTAAGAAAACAATTCCATTTCGGTAAAACATTATTATTAGAAATCATTGATATCTGCCCACCTTGGTTTAGAATAGTGTGTCAAGGCATGATTCTGGTTGAATCCAAATATCTCAACGTTCACTCCATAGTTAATGATTGGATGCCTGACATTGTGCCAGGTTCTGTTGTAAGTACTGGAATTAGAGCAGTGAACAAATAAAATTCTTGTCCTCAAATAAGCAGAGAGGTAAAATAGATGGTATATCAGATCATAGTAAGTTCAATCATGGAACAAAAATGTTGGGAAGGTAGGTAGTGGGATCCTATTCCAAGTTAAGTACTTTGCACATCAGTATCTTTGTGTATTTCTTTTTAAAGAGAAATTAATTTTTTATTCATTCATTTTCATTTATTTGTGTGTGTGATAGAGAGAGAGATCTTTCACTCACTGTTTCTTCCACATATGCCCACACCTGAAACTCCCCATATGCCCATGACAACCAGGAGCCTGGAACTCAGTCCAGGTCTCCCATGTGAGTGGCAGAGACCCAAGTACCTGAGCCATCATCCGCTGCCTCCCAGGGTGTACATTATTAGCAGTAACCTGGATTGGAATTGGAATAGGAATAGTCAGGACTCAGACCAGCCACTCTGAGATGGGATGTGACCTTCTCAAGCAGTGGCTCAAACCTGCACCAAATGCTCCCCTCCATCTTGGTACATTTCTGAGGGGAGGAAAAGCTGGCTGTGTAAGAGAGTCACAGACAGGTTTAAACTCCAGCTCGGAAAGCACGCAAATTACTTAATGTAAGTCCAGGAACTCCCCATAAAATGGGGATACTGATTAAACCTATTTCCTAAGATTATTATGAGTTTTATATGAGAAAATGTACCAAAAAGACCCTGACTGGCATATATTTATAGAAAATGTTCAATTGGGGCCTGCATCATGGTGCAGTGGGTTAATCCTCTGCCTGCCATATGGGTGCTGGTTCTAGTCCCGGCTGCTCCTCTTCCAATCCAGCTCTCTGCTATGGCCTGGGAAGGCAGTAGAGGATGGCCCAAGTGCTTGGGCCCCTGCACCTGCATGGGAGACTGGGAGGAAGCACCTGGCTCGGATGGGTGCAGCTCCGGCTGTTGCAGCCATCTGGAGAGTGAACCAACAGAGCGAGGGCCTTTCTCTCTGGCTCTCCCTTTCACTGTCTGTAACTCTACCTCTCAAATAAATAAATAAAATCTTAAAAAAAAAAAAAAAAAAGAAAATGTTCAGTAAAGGCTCACTATCAAGATTGCTTTTTTTTTTTTTTTTTTTTGATGGGCAGAGTTAGAGACAGAGAGAAAGGTCTTCCTTCCGTTGGTTCACCCCCAAAATGGCCACTACGGCCGATGCGTTGCGTTGATCCAAAGCCAGGAGCCAGGCGCTTCCTCCTGGTCTTCTATGTGAGTGCAGGGCCCAAGGACTTGGGCCATCCTCCACTGCCTTCCCGGGCCACAGCAGAGAGCTAGACTGGAAAAGGAGCAACCGGGACAGAATCCGGCGCCCCAACTGGGACTAGAACCCAGAGTACCAGCGCCGCAGACAGAGGATTAGCCTAGTGAGCTACAGCACCGGCAAGATTGCTCTTAATAGTTAAGTCATACCCAGGATTTCTCAGCATGGCAGAGCCTGCTCCTTGTTACTGTAGCCACAGACTGGGGCCTTGCTATCAAAGGCCACTGCACCTGGAAGTTCAGCTGGGATCCATTGGTTTTGCCACCTGGAACCTCACCCTTTCATGCCCTGTTCATGGGCGCACACATCTCCATTATTCATGCTTGCCCCAGCTCTGTGAGAACTTGGTACACCCTTTACACAGTGTGCTCTATACAGGGTTCGCACGTGGCTGTTGATACTTTCTTCCCTTCAGTTACCCAGTGACCAGTGCATAGTAAATAAATATTAACCGACAGGCTTCCAAATATACCATTTTTTGTTGTACTTAAAATTCAGTAAATTTCTACAAGGCAGAATATGGTGCAATTCTCCAGAATTGCAATTTTTAGCAAGGGTTAGCCTGTGTGTCTGTGTGTGTGTGTATGTGTTTGGAGCATGTGTCTAATTAATGGAGAATATTTCTGTTGTGGAACTGTCTCATTGAAGTACCTTTTAATATCACAACACCCTTTTTTGTGAAATAATGTATCCTGAGTAGCTAGAGAGGCATCTATCTCTTGTGAGTTTGACCATAATAACCTTGTTTTTTTTTTTTTCCTCATAAAGGAAAAGGCCAAAGTTGTTGAGCCCCTGGACTATGAGAATGTTATCACCCAAAGAAAAACTCAGATTTACAGTGACCCTCTCAGAGACCTGCTGATGTTTCCAATGGAAGATATATCTGTGAGTTCATAAACACTTCTTCAAAGGAGACGATCGTGTTTTCCAAGCCGATTCTCACAGTAAAAATGTTCATTTCCTAGATCTCAGTGATAAGTCGGCAACGCAGAACGGTGCAGTCCACTGTACCAGAAGATGCTGAAAAGAGGGCCCAGAGTTTATTTGTCAAAGAGGTAAGAAGTCCAGAGGCAACAAAACATGCATCATACTTTAAATGTTTTTATATCTTTATATATTTGTAATCTACTTATAAATGCATTTATAATATATTTAAATACTTTTCCTTTAAATGGAATATAAAATTATTAAATATAACTGATCTACATAATATGCCTATAGAATGTGATACAGAGGATATGACTTCAACATTTTCACAAGCAGCATCTATTTTTGATATTTTTCTTTTAGTGTATTAAATCGTATAGCACAGATTGGCATGTGGTAAACTACAAGTATGAAGACTTCTCTGGAGACTTTAGAATGTTGCCATGGTAAGTTTGGAATTCAAGGGAAACATTTAAGAGGAGAACTATTAAAGTTCTTACTTTTTTTTTTTAACCGCTTGGGAAATCTCTTATTTAGAACTTATGATAATACAAGACTTGAAACAGCCATCACATGTGGTAAACGTAGCATTTTGGTTAACTGATTATGTTTTGATGTTGTTCCCTGATATTGTTTTCAATATCAAGCTGAATTTTTGGTTTTGATGCATATACTGATGACAGACTACTCTTTAATTGATTCTGGATAGTGCAGTGAATATTTTCTGGTAGAGGCAGTGAAAAAAAAAGAAAAAAAGAAAAAACCTGGAAGCTCAATTTCATGATCCTGGACATCCTTTGAAGAAGGTGCAAGTCTCTTAGTTGATCTGAAGCAGTGGCATGAGCCAGACTGTGAAGATTCAAATCTTTTTTTTCTCTCTTTTTTTATTTGACAGGTAGAGTCATAGATAGTGAGAGAGAGAGACAGAGAGGAAGCTCTTCCTTCCATTGGTTCACTCCCCAAATGGCTGCCACGGCCGGAGATGTGCTGATCCAAAGCCAGGAGCCAGGTGCTTCCTCCTGGTCTCCCATGGGGTGCAGGGCCCAGGCACTTGGGCCATCCTCCACTGCCTTCCCGGGCCACAGCAGAGAGCTGGACTGGAAGAGGAGCAACCGGGACTAGAACCTGGCGCCCATATGGGATGCCGGCGCCGCAGGCAGAATATTAACCAAGTGAGCCACGGTGCTGGCCCTGAAGATTCAGATCTTATTTATGCCACTTACTAGCTGGATGACCTTGGATCAGTCACTTAATTTGTTGGAGCTCTTTTGTCTCCCTTTTCTCATCGTTTATACTATTAACCTCACAGAGAATCATATGGGAAATGTGGAAAATATAATTGAGAAATAACACGTTTTTGCAGCTTTTTATGGTTTCCAAAGCACTTCCCCCAAGAAGAAAACTATGTCCTAAAATGACCAGTCCAAGGTCATACAGAAAACAAATGGAAGGAACATAACTGTGTTGCTTTTTACACAATATTTACTTTTTTATTTATAGTTTATTTGAAAGGCAGAGAGAGTCAGAGGTTTACTGGTTTAATCCCCAGATGCCCACAATAGCCAGGGCTGAGCCAGGCTGAGGCCAGGAGCCCAGAACTCAATCTGAGTCTCCCATGTAGATAGCAGGGACCCAAGTTTTTCAGCCATCACCTGTCGCTCCCCCTCTTCATGGAGGAACGACACAGGACCCTGCGCTGTTCTTTCGTCTGCTCGGCCCTCCCCGGGTTTGCTGCTGGTTCTTCCCGGGTTGGCTACCGACCCTTCCACCTCCGTGGAAGGGCGGTTCCCCCTGCCACATTCCCCACTTCCGCGGGGGAGCGGCACACCGCCGGCCGGCTCTCTCGGGGGCTGCACAGGTGTTCCCCTTAGGTGTTCCCCTTAGGTGTTCCTGGTGCATGCCGTCTCTCTCCTCCTTTATAGTCCTCCTCCGCCAATCCTAACTCGGCTGCCCACACGCCGAGTACGCTGCTCTCCTCCAATCAGGAGCAAGTCCTACAGTTTATTGGCTGAACTGGAGGCAGCTGTGTAGAAGCTGTTTTCTTCTCTCCCAGCGCCATATTGTGGGAGAGCAGATGCATAGAATAAGTCTTAATTCCAGTAACAGTCTAGTCTGAGTTGCTCCCCACAATCACCTGCTGCCTTCCAGGGTGCACATTAGCAAGAAGCTGGATCAGAAGCAGAAGAGCTGAGTGGGACTCAAACTCAAGCACTCTGATATAAGATGCAAGCATTCCAAGTAGCAATAACCACTATGCTAAAGGCCTTCCCCCGTGTTGCTTTTAAAAATATATATTTATTTTATTTATTTGAAAGGCAGAGTTTTGGAGAGAGAGGGAGACACACAGAGAGAGAGAGAGAGAGAGAGGTCTTCTATCTGCTGGTTCTGTCCCAAAATGGCTACAACAGCCAGGGCTGGGCAGACCAAAGCTAGAAGCCAGGATCTTCCTCTGAGTCTTCCACATAGGTGCAGTTGCCCAAGTACTTAGGCCATCTCCTGCTGCTTTTCTCAGGCTATTAGCAGGGAGCTGGATGGGAAGTAGAGCTGCTAGGACTTGAACCGGTGCCCATATGGGATGCTGGCCTTGCAGGCAGTGGCTTAATTTGCTATGTTACAATGCTGGCCCATGCTCTGCTTCTGATCCTGTTTCCAACTAATATGCCTGGGAAAGCAGCAGAAAATGCTTGGCCCCCTACCACCCACATGGGAGACCCAGTGGATTCCTGGTTTCAGTCTAGCCCAGCCCTGGCAGTTTCAGCCATTTAAAGAGTGAATCAGGGGGTGTAAGATGTGTTTGCGTGTGTGTCACTCTACCTTTCAAATAAATAAATCTTAAAAAAGATAAATTTCTGGGGCCGGCCAGCGCTGTGGTGCAGGGGGTTAAAGCTCTGGCCTGAAGCACCAGCATCCCCTATTGGCCCTGGTTCAAGTCCTGGCTACTCCACTTCCGATCCAGCTCTCTGCTGTGGCCTGGGAAAGCAGTAGAAGATGGCCCAAGTCCTTGGGCGCCTGTACCTGTGTGCGAGACCCGGAAGAAGCTCCTGGCTCCTGGCTTCGGATTGGCACAGCTCTGGCCGTTGCAGCCATTTGGGGAGTGAACCATCAGATGGAAGACCTCTATCTCTGCTTCTGTCTGTAACTCTGTTATCAAATAAATAAAATAAATCTTAAAAAAAAAAAGATAAATTTCTGCCCTTGCAACAGCTCTGGCATACATCCCTTAGCAAGTTCTGCCTTCCTTAAGTATGTAGGTTTAGTCATGTTTTTGCTGCTAGCTTCACATGTGAGAGTCCTTATCTAGAAAAGTAGTATAAGTTTACTCAGAGGGGAGACTGTGTTTGGGAAGGAAAAAAGCCGTTCTCCTTATGTCTTGGCTTTTTCTTGTTTGTAAAACAACAAAGTCTACTCATCTTGCTTTTGTTTGTTGTTTGGTTGGTTGATTTTGGTCTGGTCTGTTCTGTTCAGTGTCAAAAACAGTTCTCTTGCACTTTCAGCAAATCTCTGAGACCAGAAAAGATTCCTAATCATGTATTTGAGATTGATGAGGACTGCGAGAAAGATGAGGTATGTATAGAGGCAAATGCCCTTGTTTCTTCAAGGTCACTCCAGTTGAAGAAGATTTCATGGGGGATTTCTTGAGTAAAGATGAGGGAAAGAATTGTTTTTGGCCTGTGATCAGCTTTCAAACTAGTTAGCGTTGTTTGGCTTTTAAAATTTTTTAAAAATGTTACATTTCCAAGTGAGTTTTAGGAAAAAGTCCAGTGAAACGGGCTGTGATTTGTACATAAACATCCCCTCCCCCTTTTGGGACATGCTTGTTTAGTTGCTGTCCTTTCACTGGGCATGTGGTGTGGTGATTCATCTGGACTCTCTTGCCTGATAGATCCCTCTTGAGACAGATGGCCCGGCTTTGGTGTTATTTCAATTTTGAGGTGCAGTTTGATTGTCTCCACAATGCAGAAGGCTTTCCCAGAAGATGCCCATACAATTCAGGAAATGCTGAGTGCCTACTGTGTGCACAATACAGAGCCTTTCATTCTGTGGTCAACGCTTTTAAATCTTTCATGGGGGAGAGGGCACTTTGTATTTTAACTAGGAAATGGGGCAGGACCTAATTCTTTGCTCCCCTAATTAAATGGCTTGGTGGTTGCTGTCTTACTGATGAGTTTTGCTCTGTTTCAGGACTCATCTTCTTTATGCTCTCAGAAGGGTGGCGTGATCAAACAAGGCTGGCTGCATAAAGCAAATGTCAATAGCACCATCACGGTTACCATGAAGGTAGGAAGTGGTTATTATATCATTCCATCATTTTAAGGATATTGGTGTGAGTAGCCTGTCTGGAAACAATATTTTATAATGAACACTAGCCGGAAAATCTTCAATGAGAGGATTCTCATGGATCCATACGATTTTTAAAAGTCTGAAAGCTTGGGATAAATTTAGAAGTGTAACTTTATAAAGAACTATAATTTAGTTATTATCTTCTGAAAAAGAAAGTGTGAAAGGAGGCTGTCAGTTGAATGAAGACAATAGCTTTGGGGGAAAAAAAGGGCATCAAAGGTTCATATGTGGGAATGAATTTAATGAGTGGAAGGACAGGGTAATCCATTTCTTTAGCAAATATTACTAATTAGGTACTTAATAAATATGTTTTAATCTGGTAAGAACAGCCTAGCTAAAAAGTTTTGTAGTTTGGCCAGGATAGTGTCTCTGTAAGGGATTTGTGAGAGACAAAAGTAGAAACATTGAAAGGAATAAAATCAGGCAGAGCCTTAAATGCTTCCAACATGAGGTTGCCTTTTGTTTGGGAAACCGTGGAGAGCTATTCAATCCAAAGAAAAAACTAACAAGCTCGTTGAAGATTCTGAGAAGAAAAACAAATTATTCTCTGATACCAAATATAACTGTTCTTTCAGAGAGTCAATAGAAGATTGTGGGCTCTGCTGAGGGTGATTCACACTTCTCTTGAGTATTGAAGGTCATTCTATCCTTCAAATAGCCTGCAAGTGGAAACCATAGGTGTCTACCAAGGAAAGGCTCAAGTTTTCTCTTAATTTAATATTTCGCCTGCTGCTCTCCCCTTAGTGGTCATGCTCTGGTCTCACTTTTTATTTTCAAGCCCTGAAAATAATGAATCAAAGTAGTAGGTCGCTTCCTGTGTATCTCCTACACCTAGGCATGAGCCTCAGCATGGGGTCATAGTAAGAGACTGAGGACTTAATATGTGTCAGGCTCCATCCTGGTGTTTTATATTATCTCATTTGATCCTCATGGCTGCCCTACGATATAGGTGCTATTATTATGCTTAGTTTGCAGGAGGGAAGAAGGAGGCACAGAGAAATTCAGTAATTAATCCAATATCACACAACTGCAAGTTTTCAGAGGTGGAGTTTAGGCTGATGCCTAAACCTATATACTCAGCCCATACGCTCTCAGGGCTCACGAACTGAGTGAGACTCACGTGTTTATGAGGCTGTAATCAGGTCCTCAAATGCATGTGTGAAAATTAGTTTTGTGTGGATTGTCAGAAAACCACTCTATTTTTGACCCTCCCAACATGCTCAGTATGTTAAAATATTTTACCTATACTTAAGCCTGATCTCAAAATTAATCTTTATAAAACAATTCGCCACAAGATCCTTTTAAATGATTTCTCTAATATCTTTAAATTATAATTTGCTTTTTTTAAAAAAAAAAAAAAGATTCTTTGACAGGCAGAGTTACAGACGGGGGTGGGGGGGGGAGGTCTTCTGTCCGCTGGTTCACTCCCCAAATGGCCACAACGACTGGGGCTGGGCCAGGCTGAAGCCAGGAGCCAGGAGCCAGGAGCCAAGAGCTTCTTCTGGGTCTTCCACATGGATGCAGGGGTCCAAGCATCTGGGCCATCTTCCACTGCTTTCCCAGGCCATAAGCAGGGAGCTGGATCAGAAGAGGAGCAGCGGGAACACAAATCAGTGCCCATGTGGGATGCCGGCACTGCAGGTAGAGGCTTAGCCTGCTACAGCACAGCGCTGGCCCCTGTAATTTGCTTTACATACAACTTTTCAAGCCCAAATACAAGAGGGAAATTTAAAAAGTCCTTGGAAAATTCACATTATCTTTTGATTCCATTTTTCCAGAAACTTTCTGAAGTCCCCTCCTATTATAAATTAAAATATAGTTGCCTGTGAGAAGTGCATACTTTGTACTTTCCCTAATAGCTTGTGAATTGCAGATTTATTTATGTGGTAGGAAGAATACTGGCCCCCCAGAGAGTCTACCTCCTAATCCCTGCAACCTATAAATGTTCCTTGAAATGGCAAAGGGAAAGAAAGTTACTAATTAGCTGGTAGGGAGGGGAGCCTGAATTATCCAGGTGGGCCCAATGTAATCCCAAGGATCTTGGGAAGTGGAAGCAAGGCAGCAAGGAGGAGTCAGGGGTAGAGAGATGAGTACAGAAGCGGGGCCTGGGCGAGATGCTGTGTTGCTGAAAACTCGGAGCTGTAAGAGAGGAGTCACAGGCCAGGACATGCAGGCAGACTCTTCGAGAAGCTGCAAGCAGCAAGGAAATGGGCTCCCCGCCAGGAGTCTCCAGAAGGGAACCTAGGCTGGCTGCCACCTTGATTTTATCCCAGTGAGACCCACGTCAGACTTTGAACCTCCAGAATTTTAAGATAATAGATTTGCCTTAGTTTAGGCTACTAAGCTTATGGTCATTCGTTGCAACAGATAAGAAACTAACGTAATTAAAGATTGAGTGTTCAGCTATCTCTTACTTATCCACAGTGTTAAAAAAAAAAAACTCCCTAAATTCATGGAGTGCGTGCTGGTTCTGAGGAACCCTGTGACCGCGTCGCCTAGAGAAGGAGGCAGCTGCCACTCGTCTCCAGCTAATTATTGCTTTGCCTCTTTTTATCCCCAGCTGTTCGTATTTGAGACACTTATTTCTTTTTTGGGTGTGAGATACAATTCATGCATCCTAAAACCATTTATTTCTTTTAAAAAACTCTAACAGTAGACCAAAAAAAGGCGGGGAGGGGGGGGATAAGCCAAATAAGTCATATGAGGCTACAAAGGTTTTATAAAATATTAATAGGGAATACCCTGTAGTATACAGGCCATGTGTGGTTTGAGAATTGTGTCTGGTTATGAATTTTGTTTTTCCTTGCTCTTCTCCAACCTGGATTGTGATTTCCATATTGGATTTCTGGGAGCTCAAAAGCATATATATCTCCTATCCTCCTGATTTTTACCTCCTAAGCCATAGCAGTAGTATTGTATTTCAGGACTTGTCAAAGCTAGAATGGACATGAGAGAAAGGTTCAACCAGAACTTCTTGAAGGATTTTGCCCATATTCCCTGTTCCTGCGAGAATTGTGCTTTAACTGTTATTTAGCTCAGCATTATTGGAGTTGGAGTGTTGGCTTTCATAATTTTATTACATTCCCTTTCGTAAACACAAGAGGGTACATGTGTGTGTGCAGAGCAGAGAACTGGAAATGGGCAGCAGTTTTGTAGTTGCTAGCTGGAACTTGGAGAGAGGGCCAAAGCAGAAGTCCAGGCCTATGAACCAAGAGACACTGGGGACTTCTGGTTTGTCCCCTTTTGGTGTCCTGTTACAGGGGGGCAGTTCACAAGAAAATGGAACTCAAAATAAAGGCTTATTTAGGTGCAAAAGTTTTTTTTTTGAAATCCATGCATAATTTTTTTTCCATAATACGTATTTTCCACGAACTGCTGGAAGTACTTGCGCATGCTTGCTTCCTGCTTCCAGCTTGGGTTGGTTCAGGCAGAGGAGAGAGGATCAACCCTGAGATAAGGTGAGCAGCTGATTCAGCTGTGGCAGAGTTGGGACAGGCAGAGGTAGCACTGAAGCAAAAGGCCAAGAGGGTTTGAGACATTCTGAAAGGAATTTGTTTCTGCTGGGTTCCTCTTTGCAGTGAAGAATATTAATGGAGCTCAGAAGTGACTTGGGGAGATGACTCAGGTGTGCTGTTCTGAGTCAGTTTCCTGATACTGGAGGTGGGTTTATCTTTGGTGCTCCGGCATTCTCTTGCTGGCAAGGACTGCCAGCCCACACTGGTGAGAGGTTCAGGCAGCTTTAGCAACAGCCCTGTAAGTTGAGAGCAAAGAGCCATTTCTTATCAGCAGATCCAAGCTTTGAGAGCTCCTGTGAACTCACAGCAGATCAGCCAGGAAGCTCCAGCAGTAAGATCTGGGTATTTATCACGACTCATTGGCAAATAATGGCCTACAGGAGCCAGGCCTCTTGCATGTTATCTGGGTCTCCTTGACGCACTGTGGCTGGACGCTGGCCTGCAGACCTCTTTGGGGGTTGATGGAGAATAAAAGCAGGGCACCTTGTTGCCTCTCAAAGTGAAGTACAATTGTAAGGGTGCTTATTCATTGGAAACTTTCTGAATTGTAAAAATTATGCAGAATCAGTCCCTTGGAAAGTTTGAAACTATGCACAACAGCTTTAAGCTGTTTTATAAACAAGTCTGAGTCCTTTTCTGACATTCTGATTGCTGTAAGAAATAAGAGAATCGGTGGCCTGTGTTGTGGCACAGAGGGTTAAGCCATCACCTGCAAAGCCAGCATCCCGTATGAGGGCTGGTTCGAGTCCCGGCTGCTCTCCTTCTGATCCAGCTCTCTGCTATGGCCTGGGAGAGCAGTGGAGGTTGGCCCAAGTCTTTGGGCCCCTGCACCAATGTGGGAGACCCTGATAAAGCTCCTGGCTTTGGATCGGCAGAACTCTGGCTGTTTTGTCCATTTGGGGAGTGAAGCAGCAGATGGAAGACCTCTCTCTCTCCCTCTCTCAGTAATTCTTTCAAATAAATAAATTTTTCTTAAAGATTTATTTTATTTATTTGAAAGGCTGAGTTAGAGAGGCAGGGGGCCGGGGGAGAGGGAAAGAGGTAGGTCGGTCTTCCATCTGCTGGTTCACTCCCCAAATGGCTGCAATGATCCAGGCTAGGCCAGGCAGAAGCCAAGAGCTTCATCCAGGTCTCCCACATGAGTACAGGGACCCAAGCACTTGGGCCATCTTCCACTGCTTTCCCAGGCCATTAGCAGGGAGCCAGATTGGAAGTGGAACAGCCAGGACTTGAAAAGTAACCATATGGGATGCCAGCACTGTAGGTAGCAGCTCAACCCGCCATACCACAGCGCCGGCCCATTCATAAGATCTTTAGAGAAAGCAACTCCCTGACCTGAAATGTGATACACACTTTCTCACACACATACTCAGAAGTATAGCAGAAGTAATTGGTATAAGGGCTGCTTTAGAAAGGTAAACC